AAATTCGATTCTCCGTTATTCCTAAGCCTTTGATCCTGATTTGTCTCATCCTCTAGTAGAGGACCTCTACTACCTGGATCCACATATTTCTTTCCCAACAGCTGCTTATCTTCGGATCTGATTGTATACCGTCGAATACTTACCTTGTTTACCTGATCCGAGATCGCCTTGGGTAATCATATCGGGATCCAGCATAATTATACCCAGATCTGGCACCTAAAATTAGGTTCTTCCAGATCGATCCGGCCAACTCAGAATCAGTTGATCTGAGCTCATCAGACCTTCTCAGATCTGGATCCATCATAGTCACTGCAGATCCGGGTGTACCTGTCACTCCACTTGATCCGGTCACTTCCTGTACCTGTCACTCCACTTGATCCGATCACTTCCTGTCTGCAATTTCTCGGATTCCACTTCACCACAAATACCATAATGCCTTATCCAGGTCCTCCAGCAGATCGCTGATCAGGGGCATAGGGTATACCATCAGCCTCGTGAGGCTGTTTACCAACTTGTAGTCGATGCACAACCTGATATCCACACCGTTACTCTTGGGAACAATCACGATCGGTGAGGCCCATGGCGATGTCGAGTGTCGGATGATCTCGGCTGCTAGGAGGCCCTTGATCAGGCCTGCGACTTTTTCTCGAAATCGCGTGGGCAGTTTCCGGGTTCGCAGTGCGATCGGTTTCGCATTTCCGACATCGATGTCGCACACGACGCCCTTGGCCGCCGGGGGTAAGGCGTTCCCTTTTCCGATCAGGAGATGTCGTTTCTTCCAAATGATCTGCCGGAGTCTCTCAATCTCCTCGGCTGTTGCTGATCCGGAGTCTCCCACCTGCAGATCCTCGATGCTGACCTTCGCAGTCGTCGAGATCGGGATCTCAGGGAGGACAGCGAGGTTTCCCTCTAGATCTTCAGCTGAGAGATCACCACTCTCATGGTAATATATCTCTTCGTCGTCCTCGGCATCCTGTGGGGTGGTCGCTGCTGCTCTTTCCGCCAGCGGATCTCGTAGGTCGATGCCCTCGGTCGGGTGGATCGGGGATTTAGCATCGAAGGCTTCGCCAGGATCGAGTTTGATCTGGGTTTGATAGTTCAGATTTTCCTTTTTTGGCTCGAAATCCTTGATGTCAGTCCAATTTTCCGTCTTGACATCCTTGGTGTCCGTCCGATCGGTGTCCTGATCTGGCATGCTCTCACTTCTCCCGCCGCCCTCAGCATCGCCACTCAGGTATCGATCGACATCGGGGCTAGTCGTTGGTGCAGACATATGGCTCCTTTCCGGGGTTGAGAAATGTTGCCTCGATCTGGGGTGCGGTGGCAGTTCCTGCCCCCGATCCAGTTTCTAGATTCATATCCACGTTCGATCTCTGTCGATATCAGCGGTTTCTGCCCGGCGAAGTATCGATCGTGGCGTGGGATAGGTACTGCCGGCTCTGCAGGGTCCTCTATGGGTTCTGGAGGGTCCGATCTAGAATCCACCTTCGATTCCAGTGCCAGATTCTGCCATTCCCGGTAGCGACGTGACCCGACGGACATGAACCGTGGGGATCGGGGCACTTTGTCCTGATCCAATATCATGCCAACGTCCAGACGGTGGTCCAGCCGTAGGATCTCTTCTCCAATGTTCGAGATCACCAGTTAGCGGATCCGACCGGAGCCTTCCGTCACAGTCGGTACCCATCGTTCTCCTCTGGTCACCCACAGTTTCTCAGTGACCGACAATTTGATCCTCGCCGCTGTTTCTTCCGAGCGACCAACCGGGATTCGTAGAGATCGTTCGAGAATCACTGATCTCACCTTCTCGCCATACAGTCTCTTACAACCATTAAGCGGTATTCCAACCTCGTCAGGTAATCGCATCGATCCGTCGGCGAGGCCCATCCATACCCCGGCTGGGACCATGAAATCCATGCCCAGGATCACGTTCTGTCCTGAGAGATCCCCGATCCAGATGTCGAAAAAATACACCAGATATCCCGCTAAGGTGATCCTGATCTTGGTTCTTCCTTCCGTAGTATATACGTTATCACCGATCCCACACATTCCTGTCTCTGACTAGTGTCAAAATTGCATCCCACCTTACGAGCAAAGGTGGTATCCAAGATTGATACCTCAGCACCAGTATCTAGGAGGAGGGTCGCTTTCTCGTGATTGATCCTTCTAGATCTGACTCCTTCCTACCTCGATCTGCCGTCGCCCTGTTCACATAGGCGTAGATGCAATATCTAGAACACTCGGCTCGTACCGGATTCCACCCCGGTGAACATCCTAGTTTAACATCTTCTCGGCTTGTTCGGGGAAAAGCCCGGCATGTCGAGTCGGATCGTACCATTTGCGGATCTGATTGTAGAATTCCTCCATGGGACATTCTCTTGCTTCGTGGACGTCCCCGCATCCGCGACAAGCGTAGAGACATCGATCCGTCGGGTGGCCTCTCTTCCCACACTTTTCGCATGTCAGGCGTTTCCAACAGTCTAGATCGGTGTGCTTCCTCGATCCACAGTGAGAACAGCGGTCTCGGTCTTGATGATCTCTGTCTCCGGGGTTGCGCCGATCCGAGATCCGGGTTCCCTCAGACGCTTTCGTTCGGGATCGCGCTGGATCTGGATTCTGCGAGGCGCCCCCAGTACTGATCAACTTTTCTTCTGCCGCAGCGAGGAAGATCCTTCGTAGGTTACTTTCCGAGTCGGATCCATCAGATCCTGAAACCCCTTCTGACTCGGAGCTCGGATCATGTGCTTGGATCGCGCGTACCGCGGTATGAGATGGTGCTGTCGGAGCGCTGGCCGGAGCTTTCTGTCGAAATTTCGACCCGAACGCGGATCTGCCTTTCCTGCTCTTAGCTCGTTCCCGCGCACGGAGCACTTCCTAAAGTTCGTCGACGTCAGCCAATCGTAATTGTGTTAGGCGGTCTGCCAGTTCGGGATCGCCTAACGTCTCGATATAATGATCAACGTGTTCCCGGCGCGTTTGGATTTCCGTCCTTGATCTTGAGCTTGGATCGTAGAGCGGTTACGTTCAATCGATAGAGGTAATCCAGCGGGGTCTCCTCGGATCTTTTCCGGGCATGGTAATATTGCCATGCCACTGACATACCTAGAACCGCAGTATTGTGTCTGGAAACTTTCCAGTAAATCCGCCCATTTGGTCTTGGTAGTCCAACTTAACTGTCGGTGCCAGTTCTTGGCTGGTCCCACCATCAGATCTGCGAACGTGAGACATTTCTCCTCTTCCGTTGCTTGATCTCGCTGGAACGCCGATTTCACCTTGCCGATCCAAGCTCTGGCACGATCTTCGTCCATATTCTTGCCGGTAAATTCTTTCAGGTCCGAGATGGCCGAAATTCGCACCCTCTGGATCAGCGATGATTCTCCAGAGCCGATCGCTGCCGAGGCGACTGCGCTCGGCCGGGATTATGACCGGAGGAGCCCGGAATCCCGAGAACGTCGGGATCGTACTCTCAGGAGTGGGGATCCAGGGTGCCGACTGATTCCATGTCGATATCCTGCGTCCCGAGTGATGGAGATTGGACCATCACCAGATTTTGTTCTTTCAGGAATCGATTCATCTCCATCTGGAAGTATTCGTCCAGCTTATTGCTAGATCCGGAAGAATTGGTCGTCGGAGTAGCTCGTCCTGTTGGGATCAGGCGTTCTTCCTGCCGATCGGGCTTCTCCGGAGATAGACTTGGTCCTGCCGGCCGTTGATCCAGTCTGTTCGTACGTGATCTCAGGTACTTTGCACCCGATGGGCCTAGCGACATACGGGGGCTCGGGGAGAATCTGAATCCGGTTCCGAGGTGGCCGTCGCGTAATGTGACGACCCGGTCTGATAGTTCAGATCTGGTGTTTGGACGT